GTTGCACGATCATCACAAAAAGTTAGATTAATCAGAATGCACAGTTGAATGTCAAACCCGAAACTCAATAAACTCCGACCCCAGGTGCATGCAACAGTGCAGTAAAAACCTTTATCTTTTTTTGTCTTTCAACCAATTAACAGTCAATAAGACTCCGAAGCACTGTCCGACGAGATAAAGAGCAAAGACGTCCATGAGAAATTCGTAAGTTTCTGCGCGGATTTGTGAGCACATTTGTTGAATAATTTAATCTACTGTAGACTTCATTGTTATAGATGGATTATCTCGTCGCCAGTGGGGGTGACACCATACGGAAGTGCATACGTCTGCTAGTCAGGCGCATTTTTACGCCGCAATTATGTAAAAAATTGGACAGGCATGGCCTCCGACGAAAACGCGGGCTGTCGTCAGCATGCACAACGGACGCGATTATGGGCTAGTTCAAACGCCCGTCAGCTATTACATACAGATATCTCGTAACTAAATATTGTTTCAATGTTCATAATATCATTGATAATCTTATTCAACTGCAAGCTTCATAAAGTACTTCAGGCAGTTATGACGCATAACTAAGGGATCTTTAATTACGATTCCAATATATAAATCGAATCTCGAGTGAATATTGGCTCTTTATTACTATTTTTTACAACTTCTAGGAATTATACTGATATTCTTTTATATTTTCTTTTGGAGATGGGCTTAATGTCATCAATTGAGTGAACTCAACTATCGGGAAGGAGTGTGTGTGGTACTCCGAGCTAATACGTCTATGTCGCAAACGACATTTCGTACCAAAACAGAACGAGACGATTCAAGAAACGGAGGACGGTTGTATTGTGATAATCTGCAGAGCAAAAATAGAATGTACAGAAGCGTTAGCAGGCAAGCGGAAAGTGAAAGCAAATGCGTGCCGGTCAAAGAGATGGCCTTGGTGTGGTAAAACATTGAGATGCAAAGGAGGAAGGGTACATGTAGAATGGGAGTTGGTTGGTCAATACAGGAGAAGAAGAAATTTATACATAAAAGTTGGTAAACCGTTGATTTTCATTTCTGTCTATATCCCACTCTCTTATACATTAAGTTTGTTATACTACATTTCTGTTCGTTTTATCTGAGGGTATATAATGGAATGGGATAGACCTTGAATAATCAAACGATCGATAAGCTCAAACGACGGGTTTTAAAGGTAGGCCGAGCACTTGAGTGGGAAGTAAACAGCGCATGTTTATCAGCAATAAGCGAGACATATATATTATGAATATAACGTGGGGAGTATAGAAAAAGTAAAGAAACGGATGAATAGCACACTTCACTTCAGTTCACTTGACACAGGACAGGAAATGGCCACGGCCAATCAACCGTCCAGAGTTCTTTCGGCGGTGTGCACAGGTCCAGCACGTAGCACTGTATAGGGTAGTTAGTTGTCCTGCTAAAAAAGGGAAAAGACAGCGCATCCCATCTCCTCGGCAAGAGACCTTAAGGTACGCGAGCGTTCAATAGGTTCTCTAGTGAGAGAGCTAACTTAATGATCAACCCAGAAACTGTTTTGTCCAACATTCGATTTGGGGTAGCTTTAGGTTTGTGAATGCCTGTAGTTATATTAGCTCTTCTGGCAGTCGGTTCCATAGATTTACTATTTGATTACTTAAGAAGATCAAACTTGCTAATATCCTGGATCGAGATTTCCTTAATTTCTCAGTGTCCCCTTGATTACGAAACTAGGTCTTCCTGAAATAAGCTCTCCGGGCCTATACCTGATAACCTTTCATTATTTTGAAGATTTCACTGAGATCACTTCGGAGTTTTCTCCATTTAGAGAGAAAAGCTTCAAGTCATGAAGTCTCTGATCATACAACTTACCTCTTTGAGCTTCAACCATTATCGCTGCGAGTCTCTAAAGTCTCCCTAAGCAAGCAGTCCATTCCTGCCCACAGTACTCAAGATGAGGTTTAACTATAGCTTTGTATATGGGCACGAACACCCTGGTTTTCTGCTGTCCTCAGTTTGAAAAGTTGTCTTCGGGCATTTTTGCGGCTGCTGTACTGTGCTCAGCCCAACGAAAATCTAAGGTCACGACGATATCTAGTTCCTTGCCCCAAATTACTGCTTCTTTCGTAAAACAACCCGTGGTTCTTCACCGTTAAGCTTTCTTCGTTGCTCGATGTCAACTTACTTTTGCCAGCATTCAGAGGCAAGTCCCACGTCTGCGCACAGCTGTCTCTTTCGAGGTGCTCACTTCCTTTAGATCCAACCAACTTGATATCTTCGGTGAAGAAAAGGGTTAATGATATCAACAGTGTATCAAGTCAATCATGAATAGGAGGAACAGCAAAGGACCGCGCACGCAGCCCTTGGGTACACTAATTGTGACGTATGCTGTATTGGAGCACTAGTCACCTACTTTGACTTATGAGGCTCTGTTTGTGAAAACGTCCCTCAGCAATTTGTGTATTGGTCACTTCATACTGAACGCTTCTGATAGCAGGCGATGATTAACCGGGTCAAACGCCTTGCTGAAATCAAGATAAAATACTCTAGTGGAAAAGATACATATGTACGAATATAATGAAATAAACGGTACATGGAACGGATTCACAGAAGGATTGTCCGGCTGGTTGATTGGTCCTATTCTTTAGATGTGTGACTCCGGTTGATAGTGTACATTATTGCTGAAATGGATGGCTGCGACCGCTTGACGATAACTGATAATGTACGCGTAATGCTTCAGCAACACTCAGGGAACACGTGCGCAGTTATGAATAGAATTTGTATTGTGTTTTTACTTGTTGTGCATATTAGGACAAGCTGTACAATCATGTCGTATAAAAGTGGATATAAAGTAAGACACTGCAATAAACTTACAATGTTACCCTCGCCCAATGCTCTGGTAACATCATCCAAGAAGCACATCACATTAGTCAGACACAAGCTACGTTTGAGAAACCCATGTTGAGTGGGACAGCACAGAGTGCTGCGTTAGATGCTGTTTCGTGAGTGACGGAAAAAGCGCACCAAGTTCATGTTGCGAATTCTTGCGAAATTTTGCGCGACAAGCTCGCGAGGAATAACGTGAAAGATTGTGTGTTATATATTCACGGTTTTGCTCGCATGACTGGGTTGCCCAAAAGTTGGGCGTCGTTGACTGTCAAAAGTAAGTGAGAATTAAATGAGTATCCCGCTATTGTGTAAGTAGAAGAACTATGATGGTATTCACAATGTTCACTCTACGAGTACTCAGGAGATCGCAAGGGTGCGCCATTTGAGCCCTATTTGTTTAAGTACACCAACTACGGTATGCTATGGGTACACCAGCATTTGCATATTTCAAAAATCCGAAATGGTAAATTATAAATTTTCTGTAATCATTTCCCTATTCAGCCTCCAAAAAAGAAAGCAGGGAAGAAGAAGGCAAAACGGTCTGCAAAATCTTCCAAGTCTAAAACACCCACGGTCGTCGATGGAGTTTCAACAAGAGAGATGAGTCACGAACAACTCGAGGAGCACATCATGCGATTGAGGGAAGAACTTGAAAGGGAACGAGAAGAGAGAAATTTTTTCCAGCTTGAAAAAGATAAAGTAGCCAACTTCTGGGAGATTACGAAACATCAACTGGATGAAAGGTCTGCAGAACTTCGTAATAAAGAGCGTGAAATGGAAGAAGCTGAAGAAAGACACAGACTTGAGCTCAAAGTAACTTAAATTTGCTTTTTCTTCATTAAAAGGTTTATAAACAAAAAGTCAAACACTTGTTGTACGAACACCAAAATAATGTCGCGGAATCCAAGGCGGATTCGGCTATTGCCCTTAAGATTGCGCAAGAAGAACATGTTGCTGTCCAAAAAGAATTCAAGCAAATCCAAAGAAATCTTAAAGTACAGCTAAAAGAGGAAGAATACTCTAGTGAAGAAGGCCAGAGGGCACTGAAGCGTGAACACGAGAAAGAGGTAATTCTTTCATTTGATTGATTTGTGCTACCCATGAGCGCAGATGCATCTACTACGTGAAGATTTCAAACAACGGCTAGATGAACAGAAAGAAGTGTTCATGAACAAGATTAAAAATCTTAGAGAAGAACTCACGTTGCAAAAGAAAAACGAACTCCATGAAACTGAAGAACGCAAAAACGCACAAATAAATGCTCTTATGCGAAATCATGAAAAGGCCTTTGCGGATATCAAGAACTATTATAATGATATTACCCTCAATAATTTGGCTCTTATTAACACATTAAAGGTGAGAAAGCTTATGATATTGTTTGTTCTGTTTGTTTCATTCTGCAAAAGTCGTTAAACCGGTTACGCAAAATTCGCTCTCTGTGCACACCGTAGATCTTTCGAAATTATTTCATGTGAAACAAAGATACTTGTGGTTTCAGTTCAGTTCTCATAAGATGATTTCTGGCTTTTTTCAGTCGAGCGTCCAGACTCGTGTGTTATCGGCCAGTTTCCTTGGCTTCCAATTGGAAGTGTTAACACTTCGATATGCAATTCTTCTGAAAGACATAATAGTGTGGTGCAGTATCCTTTGAGGTTATGGTAGAGGTAGTGACTAAACGATTACCTCAGGAAAGACCACTAGCCAACACTCGTCTAATGCCTTTTTAAAAGCATTTCTAGTACTGCAGCCTACCACTGCTAGCGGTAACCGGTTTCACACCGGAATCACCCTGTTAGTGAAAAAGGTTGCCCTCAGTTGCAGCCTAAAATGGTTTCGCTGCAAAAGTAAGTTATGTCCCTCGTGCCATTATAAAGAACCCAGGGGAACAGGTCGTCAAACCCAAGATCGTATATACTCCTGACGAGCTCAAACGTCTCAGATCTTCGCTCATCCACCTCCGCTTGAGAGAGACCAGATTCCGATCCCTCGTTGCTCAGCTATAATCTCTGCAGCTAGAAGTTGAATTCTCTCAAATGTATCTGTGTCCTTTTGATAGAACGGAGCTGAAGTTTGTACACAATATTCCAGATGCGAGAGGACAATACCTTTGTATATTGGGACAAACACCTCGGTTTTTCTGCACGTCACGGTTGCGCATAGACAAAGCAGTTGTTCCGTGACTTGGTTCGCGTCCTACACACCATGGGTGCTTGGTTTGAAGTCCCACGTTACCATTATGCCTAGATCGTTTGCTTTGTGCACCCTTTGTAAAGAAGGGCTTCTTTTTATTTCTTTGCCAATATTACTCGTCAGTAGCTGAAATTCTGAGACGTTTAGTGGTAGGTCCCACTGTTTGGCTCATCTTTTGACTACCTCTACATCACATACTAGATCCTATCCAGATATCTTGAAGTCATCTGCGAGCAGGAAAACAGGGATTTGGGAGATCTCGTGCTAGGTCATTTATGTATAGCAGGAACAGCAGTAGTCCAAGTACCGATCCTTAAGGTATACCACTTGTGACCACCTTCTCCTCGGATATTTGAGCTCCTACTGTGAAGTCAAACGTTCGCGGAGCTAGAAAGCCCAACTGTCCCCCAACACAAGCATCTAATGTGCTAACAGATGGTGACTTACCGAGTCGAATGCTTTCTGGAAGTCTAGATAGCATACCTCCAGCGGTAGGCCCTTATCTAATCTACGTGTGACCTCGTCTAGAAACGCCAGCAGTTTTGTCCAACAAGACCTCTTTTTAACAAATTCTCATTGAATTGGTGCCAATAGTCCGCTATTGACTATGTCGTGGCATATATGCCTTTTAACTACCTACTTGAAATACTTACATATTGCTGACGTCAAGCGCACTGGTCTGTAATTCTCGTTTTTTGCCGGGATTCAGACTTGTGACTTTTCACCAGTTGTTCTAGACAACTCCTAATATAAGCCAATCTTTGAATACCTCGAAGATCGGACCCACTATGACGTCATCCAGCAGCTGTACAACCGTTGGGTGTATTCCGTCAGGTCCCGCTCCCTTGAACCTGTTAAGCCCTCTTAACCAATTGTAATGGTTCCGTACAATATGCCTATAGATTTCTCAGGGATTATTTCTGTTAAAATTTCAACGATTTTTCTTCTTGGTTTAAAAGTAAAGGTATACTTAATTTAAACTTTACATAATTTGCAGTTTTTTTCTACATTCATGGTTTGTTTGTTTTCAATAAAGTTACAGTTTTACTCTGTGTTCTTGCTCAGAGCAGCTTCCTTACGTTTAAACAAAAAAATGCAGAAATCGCGTAAATAAAAGAGTTTCATTCGAAGCGTATGAAAAATGGGCACATGCGAATTGCTCTGGTATTACGCCAATAAATTTGAGTTGGTATTGTGGACCCAATTCCAAGATCATATGGCTTGTGGATGGAACCTATTGTTGTGTTGAGGCCAGTGGAAAAGAAGATCTGTTATCGTTAACCTAGTTATAATAATCTCTACCGGCTTGTAGACAGTACAGGTGACAGTTGCATATTGTAGGCCATCGGTTGCAAGATGTACATATCTTCAATTACTTGAAGATTGAGCACCCGATCGAGATAATGGTTGTATCTTGGCCTCTATGAACAACCATTAAAGCAACCCTCGGGGGGACATCTGGGCTTACTAAAAGGTACTTAACGAAAATGGCCAACCTATGGTGTTGGCTTTCTGAATATCTCCATAGGTATGGTTGCATTGCTGGAAGAAATTTTTGTTTAGTCATCCAGTATATTTTGCAATCCAAGCACTTCCAAATAAGTGTCTGCGGAAATTAATTTAAGGAATAACTCGGCTACTACCCTGTAAACGATAACCTTGTGTAATGGGCAAAGTTATTGGTAGCAGTATCGACATCTCCACCAATTTCATGGTTTTGACCGAATGTATTTTTGGCCTGAGGTATGGTGGCCTCCAACCAGCCATGATTTTGCAGTCACAGACAAGCAACAGTCTTCAACAAACTAAATGGATGTAAATATTTGTAACATAAAAGAGAAACACAAAATTATTCACTACTGTAAGAACCACTTATTTGTTAGTTCAATGATGCAGGCATTTTCCCTGTGCTTCCGTTTGGTTTTTCTAACCTTTCTCATGCGCCTACCAGAGGTACTTATGTGCTGGACAGAGTGATCACAACCTATCCCAACTTATTATCTCTCAAACTAATGACCCCGGTTTCTATCAGTGACCATAGTATTCTTCTTGCTAGACCAAAGGTATACTCTCGCATTGCTTATCATTCATACTTTCTACTCAGATAAAATTTCATTTAAGAAACTTTTCACTCAGCCGCATCCCTCTTCTCAACCGTTCTTTTGTAACTGTTTAGTTTTGGTTGGATTCTCTTTTTTAATTTGTGTTGCATCAAGAAAACGCTGTTTTCTGCTATAATAGAATTACCTCAACCTTTTTGAAGTCACAAAGAATGCCCAAAGAAAGGACCTACAAATCTTGTCATGTATCATTTGCAAACCACTATTCTGAATTATTTCGGTCTGAATGCACTCGTCATCACCCAAATTCTGCGACAAAGGAACACCAGGCTTTTAGAGCAAGGTATTCGCCCCATCCGTTGGCAGAGCGGAAAACATCTGAATATCCCGGTGGAAATCAACTACCTATCAAACGAGAATCAAATTCTCTCCTCTATGTGCAATGAATCTAATTCAATGCCTTCTACCAAAGATGAAATATTTAAGCTTCACCGATCCTCCAAAGCATCCGTATTAAGACATTTAATTGCATAGAATGCATTTCAGTCTTTCCAACGGACTGTGATACTCTTAACTGTAAATCAGTGTCTAGAATAACCCTAGTCAAGCACTTCTTTGTCACCATCGACAGTAATCTCCGGTGTTCTACACACATTTACAGTTTTACGGAAAAACTGAGACGTCCCTTTTTTAGTTATGCAAACTCGGGCAATTTCGACTCCCACAGTTAGTCCTGTCCTCTTTGGTCACCAATGCGTTTAATCCATTCCAGTCTATTGCTCCTCTGTAGTGTTTCCTAGCCTTTTAATACAATGCTTCAAAATCATCCACCGAGGTTTGCTGATCACTAGTCTTACATCGTTAATCCACATCGAATCATTAATATCAGAACTCCTAAATGGTCACATACGCTCTTGTAATAAATTTGCCAATAAGATTCTAGACACACTGCATCCCGATCTATCATCTTGTCTTACCCATTCATCCACGCGCTCCGCTCTTTGGTGTCTACACTTTCGTATTAACATTTATAACAATTTCCCCGTACCCTACCCGGTCCGACTCATAACCAAAAAGGAACAGGTCCCAAGTGAATTACGTCGAAAGGTTTGTACATAAAACAAACTTAAATGACATTCTTTGCTAGGTATGTTATATGAAACTGTATTTTGTACTCTTACCTTAAATGTAAGTCCATTAGCTAACAAAAGTTATACAAATACAAATACAAATAGTGTGGATCACTAAATGAAACACTTTTATTTCCTCCAAGGCCACCAGAATTCCTTTAGCCTGGTCAAAGTTGGTTCCTTTAGACAATCGGACAAATCGCTGCATACGAATATCCGTAGTTGTGGTAAAACAATAAGAGATGTGAAAAATTAATCAGTTTTGAGAATGCAGTATACGAAACTGATAACTGATGATTCGCTATAGACCACGGCTGGCAGAGAATACTGCATGGTCGTTGCCCGCATCTGGGGCAGCAAGCATATCCCGAGCAATGTTCTATCTGCTTTATGAATACCTTCACAGGAGCATCAGCAATAACGTCTCTAAGGATCACGCGGCACACTTCACTGGCATGTTTATTAATTAAACAAGCTGAAGGTAATTCTTTCAGTTCCGTTGTTACCTCTGATCAATAACCTTCAGAGTCCTGTGATGAAGATGTCACACAGAATAGTTCAACGATGAAAACCCGGGAAATTGGTGTACGTATAAGGACTAATATCAGCCACAACAGTCGGATTGATCCCTGGAGGACTGACGTGCCATCAACATGCAGTTGTATTGCAATAGTGGAATCAATGAATGTGGAATTAGCCAATACAACGTGCGTACCAACCTCCAAACCAAAATGTATGTACCTTCCATTATCAGCTGTACCCATCTATTTGGATCGGGATACCTCACTCAATGTTTGAGGATTTGTTGGCAAGTCAGTTAGTAACTGTTTAAATCCCCGAAGCATGGTTTGTACATTCTTCACAGAAATATCAGACTACTGGACAATATATTTGGCAACAGACCATGACAAATTCTTGTTCTGTTTAACTTTAATTATACATAATTTTCCTATGTAAAGTGCAGACTTTCAGTCATAACATGCCATAAATTCTATTTAACGTGAGCAAAAGCTCGTCTATAATTACTTAAAAGCTCAGGTTACTCTGTAACTTCAGTAAACTAATCACATTCAGTGGAAACACCTAAAAATCTCTCACTTCTTCCGCGGTTTTATTCAGCTTTTCCCGAAGTCCAGACAGAACTAAATCAGTATGAACCCATATTGCACTTTCAACTACTAGTGCATTATCTGCTGGAACAGCTAAATGCAGGATTTCACCTAAAAACAAAGACAAAGTTGCCGGCAGTTTCATAACACAAATGATTGACTTTAAGAGGAACTTCTGAAGACCTTGATTCTTCAGCATTCCGAAACTTATGAAACGCTTATTTATAGTACTTCGAGTAACTCCGCGTGAATAGATAAATTCCCAATCCACGACAGTCTAACTTGAACATAAGTTGTGGAAGAACACGTGCATTGCACACATAGACCGTAAATATAACTAACAAAAGTAACTATATTCCAATAAAGTAATATTATGGACAAACCTACATCAGTGGTACAGATGCTTCACGACTGAAACCGGAAATATGACTAACCTCTACGTAGTAAACAAAGCAATCGTAAACAAAAGTATGGTTTCAATTAAGTCGTATTTATTCAAAAAAAATTCGGCGCTTTCCTCATTAGGAATTACGGAGGTTCTAGTACGCATTTTATCATGTAATTAAATTTTAAATTGAAATTTAGATCTTACTACAATAAAATTACCTAAAGCTAAGAAAAAGGCTGCTTTCTCCACTGATTGTGCTATATACTGATAGAAGAAAAGCCGTTGTTCTTGTCAATATGTTAAAAGTAAAATTGCTACCGAATTTGATTTTAACCAATTCTTTAGATTCTTCCTGAATGTTCACATATCAAAAACTAGCACTTTCAATGACCATCCATCTAGAGAATTCTCAGTGGACTATTGACCCTCCATCCCCGTGTGCTGCAGGGGATAGCAGGTATACTCTGAGCACGCTAATGCACCTACAGAAACCGCAAAGCCAGAGGCGGAACAAAAATTTAAAAAACTTCCCCAAAAAGAAAGAACCTCAAAGATGTATAATGAGACTGTCAGCGTACCATTGAATTTCATCATTAGAGAGAAGGAAGACAATCAAAGCTAAAAGCAAGGACAGAAATGGGAAACTCAGAGTTACCGACCGAAATCAAAAAAGAGAAATTTTCCTCGAAGACAGAAGGCAGTCCACAATCAGGGGCAATAGTACCCCTTTTTAATGCTCCAGGCAGATAACCGAGGAAACTAAGTGACTGAGGGTAAGAAGAATATAAAACGGTGCCAAACTCATAGGAATGTGGCGATATTGTTCAAAGAAGAGTCCAAAATAAAGAAAACCGGATGAATATGGAGAAAATAAGAGTGCATTATGCCTTGCTGATTAGTGGCATGGCCGGGGCGACAACAAAGACGAGTTCATTTAATGAGATTATGAATTTGGTCAAACAGTTGTAGACTGCGAATGGCCCGATTACTGTTGGTCTAGATTTTCGCAACCTACCAGTTGAAGTAAATGGCTAGTCTATCCATACAAAGTATTGTACTAAGAGGTAGAACAGTTTAGTGCCAGATATAACTCGGAGTTATTGTTTGGGAGACATGTACGAGCCATGCTCGAGAAAAACAGGTCGATAGGAGAGCATCGGCTCCTGGAAACCGAACAAAATAAGAGGATAGAAGAAACAAGGGGGGAAGAAGAGTAGCAAAGATTTCTCCTCAAGAAACAGAAGAAGGTATCCAGATACTCTACAGGGCAGAGGTGGCGAAAATCCCCTCAGTCAAGAAGACATCAACTTCAGCAGAAACTTTCATATGTTCGGGATAATCAATATTATGGGCATAAGACAACAACAAGGAGCAGGTGAAGTCTCCAAAACTAGTGTCACCCCCTTGAATGCTGCACTGAAAAAGCAAGGTAGAGTAAGAAGGTAGCAAAAAGCCTCTTTTACTAGGAAATATGAGCTGTAGGTCATAAACACCAGTAGTAATCTATTAAAAAGATTAAATGGAATGCTATATTAAGGCAGTTAGAACTGAAAGCACCCAATGTATTACCAGGTAAAGTGCCAGGTGGCTTTTTGATTCATAGAAGAAACCGAACATTAGATCTTGAGGGGGCAAGTAGCTTTCATAGTAAGGAGAGAAATCGTTTCTTATGGACTACGAGGTTAAGATAAACTTGCATCATCTCCTTTTTGCCATAACTCTGCTGTGACTGGAAACCAGAATTACCCTGGCTCTGAGGCAAACATTGTAGACACACAGAAGAGCTGATCACATTGCTAGACCTCCTAGTTTGAAGGTCACACAAGCTGTTTGTCAGCGAAGATTTTAACTTGTTTTCTGTGGACTCGGGTGCAGGCAGATGCTCACATGATCATCAGAATGAACAGCCTCTAGATTTCACTAACAGGCCACGTTCAGTACTAAGTATGATGAGTTTGCTCCTTGAAAACACAGTCTTCATAACTAAAAGCCACCGTTACAAAGCGGATGCAATTTGTGTTTGATTTAATTGTGTTCAAACGGCTATACACACACTGATGAGATAAGTAGAGGAGCACAGTTTATCAAAGGAACAGGTATCAGCGACCTCAAGGTGTCCACAGCTGCAGAGTCGGGTTGATGAAACCTAGCACTCACTGGGTCTTTCTGCAAAATATATGTGATCTCAATAGGAGAGGGAAAATAAACGGTAGACTGAGAAATCGATTCTGTAGTAGCATTTCACAAAAAAGGATCAAAACAGAATTTTACTGCGATCACCTGGTTAGTTAAGGTAGTATTTTTGTGCCAATAGTTAGAAAACTTGGTATAAACACACTTAGTGATACACCCGGACAGGAGTATGCTCAAGAGTAAAACCCGGTATGGTTCTAAGAAGCATCGCTCACGCCGTCCAATCCTGTTGTGCTTTCTGAAGTATGTTGGCAATCGGATGGATGAAGGTAATACGATGGAAGTTTATTACGTAAACCTCAGTTAAATTATCAATTCAGTAAGTTATGTCCGGTTGTTGTTCCACTTGTTTTTGTCCAAAATTGACCAGTTTGAATTGTGAGAAAATTTGTACAACTGAATAATTTCTTTTCTCTAACAATGATCATTCTTTGTAACAGTTAGCGAGGAGAGTTCCACACTGGCTTCAGCTCTTCAGTGAGGTTGTACATGGCTGTGGACATTGTTCTTTCCACTATCAAATTATCAAATCACCCTGAAGGAGAATTTGGCATCAGACATATTTCCGATGAGTGAAAAATATGAGCGAATTCAGTGCAGAGGTTCAATATGGACTTAGTTGTTGTAATCACGATATTCATGGTTGAATCGTTGTTCAAACTGATTTATTTATTCGAATGAATAGGTGCACGAACTCCTCACTCTGCGAACCGGAGCAACACGTACACGAACCAGTGAGACCTATGAAGGTCAACCATTTACGTCAAAACGAGACTGTGATTATATAAAACAGCGCGCCTAACCTCCCTGTGGTTCATTCGTTTGTCCCATTGGAGTTGTGCAATACGGCCTCCACTCCGTGTAGGAACGTCATACTCCCCAAATTCTGTAAAAGCATTTTACACCTCGTAGTTGTAACGCATATAACGAAAATAGATACTATAATACTCAAATCATTCAGAAAGGCTTGCAACTCATCCGAATTTCTACTTAAAGATTAGCTGATCACGGTTTCCCTCTCACGGGTGGGATGGAAGACGGAAGAAGATAGAAGCACGTGATCGAGGAAACGGATTCAAGGTGTTACAAACCTATACACTTCAAGGATACGTCGTGAAGTTTCGATACTACACTGTTAAATTTTTGTTTATTTGTATTTTCCTTTTATTTCCCAATTCAGGAACAAATAGAAGAAAAACGCAAGAAAGAAGAGAGGCTGGAAAAACAAGCTGCGGATCTTTTGGCTGAGAACAAACGACTTTTGGAGCCGTTGAACAAAGCACGTGACGAGAATACGGAAATGAAACGACAAATGACCAATTATGAAAAGGATAAGGAAGTACTTAAGGTGTGTCTCTTCGGCTAAATTATATTTATGTTTGCCTTGTATTGAAATTTATTTGTGATTAGTGATGTGGAGATAATTGATATTGATTTTAACTGACCATCCTTCATACTTCATTTTCAAGCTCATTTTCATCCAGTCAATCACACACTCAAACAGAACTACACTGAGGTTTTGCTCTCGTTAGAGCTCATCAGTTGTACGTATACACCGTCCCGATCGTTAGGAGGAGATAGCATACTTTATGTTAACTCCCATTGGAAACTTTCCACCAAATTAAGTCTTTCTTTCAGGTTTAGGGATACTATTACAATGAGACCGGAAGAAGATGAAGTTTCATTGATGGACAGTTTTGGTCCTCTCATACAAAATATTCAAAAACACAGCGCTTGACTCAGCCCCCAATCATTGAAATAAAAATAGCTAACCAATTTATTTTTTAAATGAATCCTAGACCAGATAATACAATTCATCTTTTACACCGGTGAAAAACTAGGCAACATAAAATCTTATTTCCACTTCAATCAGAGGTAACTTTTTGAAAATATTCAATTATCCGCTTATCTGGCACTTTACAGTGTTCCACTTATCTCAAAAAGAGTTGACTAACTCAGGGACTTTTTAATGGTCCAGGCTATCAATTGCCTTATCCGATTACGTCGTCCCTCAAAAAAATTTGTGATGGATCTTCAAAACATGATCACGGTATGCGAATTGTTCGTATTTGACGGAATAGTAATCATGATGATCGCACTTCATTTGTTCAACCCCCCACACCACCACCACCACTCCCGTGCCTCATCGTTGCTTTTCCACGCTTTCCTTTGGCTGCCACCCTTGTTCATAAATATTGATTTTACAATTGATTCATATTGAATAGCCTGAGGTTAAAACATGATTATTATTTATAGTAATGTCAGTATTGGAAATAGTAATAGTAGAAGAATTACTGAGATGTTATTGTTGCCTCTGTCAGCGTACCCTGAATCAATGTCTTACGACGAGTTTGATCTACATCCTAAGAAATTCCACTTAACGTTTGGCTGACGAAACTTTTGGGATAGTTCAGCGGTAAGGCCAATTTCGATTTCCAACTGAGCACGGGATTCATTTTCTCCCCGTGCGTGAAACCATTTAGACTGTCGAACTCTCCTAACACTCAGATCAACAATGTTTGGTTGATCCGATACCTTCTGATCAGTTCTTATATCCTGCTGGAGAACGTTTTGAATCCGCACTGGATAGACTCGGGTCCCATGGAATTGAAACTAGAACACAGTTGTTTGGCATTGAATCAAAGTTGTTCCAAGCCAGATATCTATTTTCATTTTCAATTCACAGTCACCTGTGAGTAGTGATGGGAAATGATTGTTGACGACGTTGACCAGCCACCCTTCCTTCAACACTCGGTTCATCCGGTCAATCGTACACTCAAAGTGCACACACTATACGCAATTTTCCCTCACTTTAGAGCTCTTCAGTGGTGCAATTCACCGACCATGGGTGAAATTTGCACTCCGGACCTCCTTGTGTATGACGGGCATAGGTGAGACCAGCTCACTACGGGACTGACTAAAGGTAACAATTCACATCTGTTCCGATATCAACTTTAAAGGGGTGGTCAGTCATTTAGGGGGCTTTTCGTTAAGGTGAGCAATTTTACATATTTCGTCTCCGTTTCGGAGCTATCGGGTCTTCTAAGTGAAGGGCTCGGTGGTAAACGCCTCCAAATTATCACCTGGAAGGACGTGGGTTCAAGTCCCACCTGACTTTTTCCATTCTGTTGTATGAAAGCCCTGTGATTGGTCGCTTCCGCCTTCCTGAATTTTCTTCTTTATCTATTCAATAAAGGAAAGTAAACATAAAATAAGGATAAAAGATAATTGAAATTGAAAAAAATAAACTGATCTGTGAGTATGCATTAGGTAGCAAGAGTTAGCTTCGATTCTGGTGTAAAGGTAACTGAATGAGCTGAGAGTTGTGTATGACGGTGAGGTTTAAAAGGATGATTAGCTCCAACCAAATCTCTTTATTTAATGAAGTTATTTCCCCCCACATTGGTATTTGATGACCTTTTCCAGATTAGATTTTCCGATTTCGATGGAGTCGTCCAAAGGGGTAATGTACATAAGATGATATTTGTAACCGAGGCTGTTTGATGCATGTCCGTTTGGTAAACATTTGACACGACTGAGGACAAAGTGTGGCATCAGTGAACTTGTTGTTGATTTCCTTTTTAAGTGACAAGTCACATGATGCGGACCGTTTTACTGGAAATATGGTATAGTTAGTTCGATAAACCAAGTTCCGGTTTGACCACTCGAAGAGGCTAAATAGTGTCAAAATTCTATCAAACACTTTATTACTGATGGTGGTGCAGTGACTTAGTCACTGTCACCGGAGTGTTTTGGACCCCATAGTCCGAGGTTGGAACCCCGCCATCGCCGTCCAACTTCCGTGGTAGGCAGCTTTTCTGTCTTCCGGTTCAATATCACACCTAACCTAAAGCGGCCTTATTTGGTTCAACACTCCAAGACCGGGGGCCAGGTCGCCGGTTTCCATCACTAAATGGCAGGTCTTCGTGACCATGGGGTTTACTGGGTCTGCGGTGAATCACAAAGATATGTATAATAAATTATGTTAATGATAATAATACGAATAAGGATAATAATAACAAATGCTCAGTTTGAATGACAACATCACATGCAATTTAGCTGTAAAAAGATAATATTAACTGTAATAAGTGCAAAATATTTATCGGATTAACAAACTAGGTGACGATTGATGTAAAGACGGTTATTTCTCCTTATTGTGAAAGCACTCCATCTCGCATTTATTGGAATAAGTTAAATTTTAAAAATCTGCCATCATTTTATGTACCGAATGAGACTCATTTTTACAGATTAAACTTCATATTTTCCAGTCATTGCCTGCTGACATATAAAATTGTCATTCATTCATTTCCAAAATACCGGTGCAGCATACTAAAGTTTTGTTGAAGACTTCGGAAAAAGAGAGAAAACATGCGGAGTGGAAGTACGATATTTTGGAATCTCGGTTTAAGCACGTAAGTGGATCCATGTTCTACTTCCTCCGTCCCATGTGTGTTTGATAAGAACAATCAAACAGTTACTTGTGAGCAAATGCATTTATGTTGTTGCATCTCTCCATTTCTGTTTCATTTCATCACTGCATTGAAGGTGTAACCCGAGAATGTTTATGCAAAATGAGACACATGTGTTGGCATCTGGAATACACAAATCAACTGCAATGTGAAAGTGGGACATTATCCTAGATCGAGACGTCACTCGGGATCCTCTCAAGCACTCTCACAGTTTGCATTGATTATGTAGGACGGGACACGGATTGTTCATGTTTTACAGCTGAGATGATAACGATTGGTGATATATACATCCATGCATTCAAGACTCGAATGATATATTAGCTAGCCTAACGCTGAAGCTATCAGAACGTTGGGTCTGTTGAGTCACACTGTGGTCATGTCTGATAAGATGACTGTGTGGCAGCCCGCGAAGGATAAACCCGAAACGTGAACTTTTCAATACATACCTCCGAAAATTAGTGGTTTGGAGTGAGTGAGCTCACGGAGCGGAGATAAAACATCTATTAGAAAATTGGTTGTCATAATGAGGCCACTTGAGTGAGCCTGGTTGATTGGTCACACACTGCATCTAAATAAGCCACATTTGACGTACTTCGCGCTGTTAGTGACTATAGCTTCGGCGTGAAGGATGTAATGTGTAGTATGGGATGTAGACAATGTGTAGTGAAGGACCAAATGCACAAAGCGATAAAACTGACGATGCGTGTAGGTATCTCTCTCGGAGCAAACCGGGCTCTAAAAAAAAAAGAAACATTTGAACCGGGATATTGGAGACAAAAGAGAATGTGACGTTGATTCTTATTTTCATTCATTGACACGGCAGAGTGCTTCGGGTTGTGTGTGTGCGTGTGTATGTGTACATTCAAACTGTTTATCTTGTGTTTTGTATGGATTGACTCACTTTATTTTTCTTCCTTCAAAACACACCCATTCCATGTCATTCGTTCTGTTTTTTCTTACTTTGTACATATTGTGTACGTGGCAACAAAATGTATATGTTGCTTCCGTGTATCTTGTTGTACAAAAAGATGGTGCTTCGAATAATCACAGTCGAACAAGTTCTCAATTTTGTTCTCTGTTGTTATGATATACTTTATTCCTTGATCATGTTCACAGATGGAACGGGAACGTGATGAACTGTACGAGAAGTTTGTATCCGCAATTCAAGAGGTTCAACAGAAAACCGGACTGAAAAATTTGCTCCTCGAAAAGCGTCTGACCGCACTCACTGAAACAATTGAGAAGAAGGAGGCCCAATTGGGCGAGGCTTTGACCGCGAGCAATTTAGATCCGGTCGCTATGGCTTCGGTCAGCCGAAAACTTGGGGTATGTAATTTCCCGGGTACAGTGGATTCTGCACTCCGGGAATGAAAAGTTGAAATTCATGGTTAGAAGGAGGGAGGCGGGGCTGGGTGGGACGGGGCTGATATTTTAAATGTGAGATTATTCCTGTGCGAGATTTTCCATTCTATCCGGACAAGCATTTACCTAACTGGTATTCTGTGTGCATAACTGATGAGAAATTGGAAATAGTAGTACAATTTTAGGACTTGGATTACTCGATTGACCAATACCTCAGTCTTCGTAACTGTTCGAGGCTTCATCTATGGAGACAAGTGTAGTTCGTAGTTTGATCATTTTGGCGTCAATAAATCACTGATGATATCCACTTCACAGCATCTTACTCCTAATTTCGGTTCTCTTTATCTGGTTTTACCTCAACAATCGGGTGAATATATCAATTTCAAACACCCGACCTTCTTTTTGCATCCTCTATGTGTAAGAAATGACACAGGATTTAAACTAAAAGCATCTTTATCCCTGGATGTTCTCCAATTCACCAACTCCTTAAGAAGAGCTGTTAAACATATGTAAAACTTTCACTCTGTAGGTTGACCTCTCACCCACCACGGGGAGGCAATGAACAGGGATTAACCATCAGGCAGTTGGGGAGCATTAAGAAGCAAGCACGGGGGAACGACAGACGCTTACCGAAGCATTTACCCCCACTATAATGAAACAGATATTGAAATTTTTTAATCCAGATTGCAACCCAATGGTTGTTCAAATGCATTCGGAGAGGGTGAAAACTCGGACTGACCGATTTGAATAAGGGTATGCACTTAAATCCCACATACACGCACGCTGTTCGTCCATATTCATTTTCGTGACGTTGCTAAGTATCCACTGAATTTTCGATTAGACTAAATATTTGGTACTAGTTTCGGTATTGTAATTCGGATTTAAAACAAAATATCTTTCCATTGAATCTTTCTTCAACCAGGATATTTTGGACTCGAAAAACACCGCAATCAAAGAGCTGCAATATGAACTGGCTCGTGTCTGTAAGGTGAGTGTTGTTTTTATCTGCTTAATATTCCAGTGTTGTCAAATTCTTAAGGAACGCAGGCTAACGGTGGCGTAATTTGTGATTCATCTCAGTGTGTATTTCTGGGTTCGAATCACTCTGAAATTGAAGTTTTTCAAGCAGATCATTAATGATTTCGATGTACGGACTAAGCAATAAAATTCCCTAGAATTTTTGTGTCATACCTGATTTAAGTTATTTCATCGTACACCATCAAAAGAACGATGCGAGGATCTATCCCCACAGTTCGAGTTTCCGGGATCCGTTTCTTCACCCGGTACGATTAGGTGAAGAGAAATGAGTATTTCATCTCGGATAATAATGAAACCTTTGAATACACGTCGTCCAAATCACAGCGAATTAAAATGTAAAAGAGTTCTGTGTCTCTAGTCGTTCACGGAGCATTTAGTGAACACTGAATGAAATATGTACTTATTTGTGACAGAAATCTCTGCGAACACTGGGCACGTGTTTCATCCTTTTAAGGATTCGTCAGTGTCGAGTACATTTTGTATCTCTGATGGGAGTTGAATCGTGACCCTTCGGGTTTGGTTTCAAATCCCTTACACCTGGGAGGCATAGTCGACGATCAGCACCTTGAGAAAATAGGTCAGTCAATAGAGCTTATATGGGTTTGTTTCTTCCATGTGAGCTCATGGATACCAGGATGCGTGTATTGATCTTATGGTGAGGAACTTACTTCCTCGCAGTTCGCCTATTCCCTTGGTGTTTATTAAATTTCATGAATGAAAAATTTCTTCGCTCAACATAATAATTGGCTTTACAGTACAGGCACTAAAGTATGCACTCCAAGCATTGACCTAATTCACACACAAGATTCACATTACCATGAAACTCCCGGTTTTTAGTCTGACTACTCACAAGTAGCCATATTTGTTCATTGAAACTGCTCAACTTCGATTATCTTCATTCTCATTGGATCGGGTGAACTTATGACTATTTATATGCCCTTTTTATTTCAGGCTCATAATGATCTGGTTATGGCATGTGAAGGGAAAATGCGGCAGTTCGGCATTCCAATTGAAGAGCTTGGTTTCCGTCCGCTCAAAACTTCGTTCAGTGCACAAAAGTTGGGTCAAGGGCCTGCCGGATTGGTCTCTGTTCCACCGTGAATTACGGATCAACGAGATTTACTGGGGACTACTTACGAATTTTCCTCTGTCTGTTACGGACTACCATTACTATCACGCGTATCGTGCTCTTTGTCATTCCAGATCTGTGATAGTCCTATTTTGCCTTGGATACCATGAGAGGAATGAAATGTGGACAAGAGGTTGTGAACCTACCCGGCTTAGATGTTTGCACGCACCGAATTCAAATAGGTGGTTAGGATTAAACTGAGTAAAATGCGATAGGAGAATTGAAATTAAGCTATTTTTCCGTGTTAACCCATACAAATGGTGAATTCAGACTGAAATGATCTTTGATTTGTTATCCCCAAAAGGTGTCTGAATTTTTAAACCGATGTCACCCAGCTTATTCCACATTTGTGGGGTGTTTTCTTGCATCCTCTAAGTGAATCAAACTCCCTACTCGGTATCACGAGCGAGTTTAACCAGTTAGTATAATCAGCATATTTTAGCGAAAATACTGATTTTGTAACATTCCAAGATCTAGTTTCAGGACCATTTTACCACAATATGACTACGATGCATTGAAGTACCTGACAGGGAAACAAGTAATATTCTCGAGTAAGAACCAAATCGCCATTCATCAAAAAATAGAATACTGAAATAAATACAGTGTGGTGGATATAGCTTTCTGTTGACTGTAATTAGAGAACTGCAAACATTTCGCTCTATCCTAACAAACATTCGCACTTGGTATTGTAAAACCGTCTTGAATGTGTTACCTCTACCGAACGGTCACACTACCAAAGATCATGTAGCCTTGAATGCGTATGTATTGCGGCTGGGCGATTTCAATTGGGTTGTCCAAAATTGGACTCCTTTTTAAAATATGTTTTATCCTGGGTAAATTATTGCTCCTCTGCCCTCTATTTGCTTGGGTAGAAATATTTTAAAACAATTTCATCACATCAGATCACTGGGCACATCTCACCCGGGCATTTTGCAACGAAGCCTGAATGAATTCATTCGTGCAATTTTTGTGTGCAAGTTAGGTGCTAGGGAAGTGAAGCTCGATTATTCTCCACGGAATAACGACACACGACCAGCAGAACAAGCACTACCGGTCAGTGTAAGCAACCAAATGTTAAAACCAAATATACAGAAACTGTGACAATATATATGTCGTCAATTGAGTACAGTGCAGGTAAAATCAGCCATTTCTAATGGACTTAGCAAATAGATGGAACAACGGGAGCAAAGGCTGGAGAGCACTATATAAATCCATTCATTTGGGGGCACAGACATGGCTGTAGTCAGGGTCAGCTACCGCTGTTACATTCGTCACGTAGACGTATATGGGCATGAGTGAGACGGAGCGCTCGTGCTTGCGAGGGAGACTGCATGAGTTGTACACACTCCACGAAACTGAACTTTCTACTGCATGTCTCCGAAGTGCTGGGAACATGGTAAAGCTTGGAATGATGCACTTCATTACTCCCTGTGATAACTTTATACTCACTGATGCTGACATTGAAGAAGGTTTCGACATAAGTTGCCGCGCTTCTTGGCTTTCGGTTCAAATATGTTTTTTCTCTGTAGATGACGGAAGTCAGTCTATAAGCAGTTAACAGTTTTGACAACACTGTTTTATAAAGGCTAGTTAGTGGATAATGGCAAGTCAAATCTGCCAATTGCGGTGAAGCTTACTCATTAATTGTTGCCATAGCCCGGAGTTTGTAAGTTCGAATTCCACTAACGATACCTAATTTTCCGATCATCGTCGTACCCAATGGCAACTCTCTGATTGACCGGTCTCTCTCCTAAAGATTGATTGTTCGTTTGTTTGTTTATTGAAATGTAAGTAAAAGATTAACATTATCTGATAATGTGTTATGATAAGTTCAGCAGAAAAATAGAGGACACTGCATTTGTGCATGGAAACGTGAGTGTAATTACAACATGACTCTGACCAGTAGAAAGTTCAGTGCATTCAACAGAAAAGATATTCAAAACAGTTTAACCGTTATTGGAAGTTAACGGCAGGATCGATAATGGCAATCGCCAATGGATTCCCAAAGCAAAGTTGAAAGACGTCAAAAGACTGAATACTTCATTCTGGAGTTATGGATGAAAGACGGTCATGGCAACGGATCAGATTGCTGTGTGGACAGAAGAAACGGTCAACAAACAAAACTATTGACGTGAACAGCCTTAATGCTGCATTAATTTATCCTTCACATGATCTCCTGTCTCCATACCCCACAGATTGCCAATCTACCGTAGACCCGTGAGGTGTATCATCTTAAAACTGCTACGAATGCACTTTGTCCCGATGGTTTATCTTCGTCTATGCTCAAATATAGCGCCGGTTTACTCACAGAGTTGTTCGCATCCGTTATTAACAAATTCATGTACACATGTTCAATCCGGATTCTTAAAGACCGCTCATCATTGTTCCCATTCCTAAGTCATCTTCATCTAGCATTTTATTCAAACGCTTTCGTCCCATCACCATCACCTCCTCTGAACTTAAACTTGCAGAGCGCACTATGCTCACACGCTTACAGTCTGGTATTAATGTTCCCAATGACCCCCTTCAGTTTGCATATAAGCCAAATAGATGTACTTTGGATGATGTCTCTTCACTGATGCTCTTTATTTGCGAATCATTAAATGATTCCCAAAAATCTGTTCGTTGTGTTTTCCTTAATTATTCTTCCGTTTGACAATCCGTTCTCCGAATGTTACAATCATTCGGTTGCTACACCACATTACTGTTGTGGGTGAAAGACTATTTCCCAAGAAGGATTCAAAGAACGAAAGCAAACTATTTCCAAAACCGTCAGTGAATAATTCTGGAGTCCTTCGGGGTGCTATGCTTTCTCTATACTTATTTTCAACATTCATCAGTGACTTGCCCTCTATCCCACCAGCCAAGACCTTTAAATATACTGGGGTCTTATATCAGGCCATTTCAAACCAATCTGATAATCATTTTCTTACAGTTTAGAATAGGTGTAATTATTGTCGGACCAATCCGGTCCCCAGTTGAATGCTTCAAACGCATTTTTAGTCTTTCCCGATTTGAATATCCCTTGCAATCCTCAGTCATCAGTTCCGTACCCATCACCAGAACATATACCACCAAATTTCTATGAGTCACCATAGATAGCAATCTACAGTGGTCCTCTCATATGCTAGCCTGTGTTGGCAGGCTGTCGCTTATCCTTCCAGATATACAAGCGACGATAATTAAAAGCGAAGCATACCACTATATATTCTTTTGTTTATCAATGCATTTTTCCTGTCATACTTTATTGATCGCCTTTATTTACCCTGGAATACTTAAAAAGGATTTCACTACTCTTCGTGGCTGTTCGGTTATTACCGGCCGTGTTTCTCTAATTCCCTTAAAGACTCTTATCACAAAATTGTGTGATTTTCATATTACATCATGTGAAAATTTTGCCCATAAAATACTCAACGACCCCAGTCATCCGCTCAATCCCGATTTATCTGCTTGCTGTTCCCACGCTACAACCGGATCCAATTATTGCTGCTTACCCCGCCCTAACATAAACGCTTATCGCAATTCAAAGGTACTCTTTCTGGCTCGTATTCTTACTGACAAGATAAAGATCCGAAGTGAACTGATTTTAACCCTACAAAGATGAACTTTTGTTTAAGTTTTATCATTGTTGTTTATGAATTTTCATTTTTTATTCCATTGTAACGGTGAACACATTTTTCTTAAGTGTAGGCATAGTTGCTTGCACAAGTCATTACAATACAATACAATGCAATGCGATACAATTGGAAACTTTATGCGAACAAAACAGACACCTTTTACCACATAATCTGTAGTTGCAATGAGAGAGATTGGATTCAATACCGACCATGATGATCGAGCAGTGGGCAGTCCCATAAGAAGCCAGCCCATGATTTGCTCGTAGGCAGAATACGACCAGGTTGCTCAGCCAAAGCAGGTGAATTTTCTCTAAACATTCACAGCCTGAGTCTTCGGCTAGCCAAAACCTTACCGGAAGGGCAACGGGGTGGTGTGGGTTTGTGTAAACCACGATCCGGTGTCCAGTTCATCGGATAATCCGCTCTCGCACTCCACTCAACAACCTCGTCTTCTTTCGCCCAGATTTCGCCTTACTTATTGGGTTTTCAGTCCGAGTTTAACATCACTCTATTCAATTGCTAGAAAATTTCCGATCTATGCGTACAGTTTCGTAGCAATAAAGAATAGATTAGCTAAAGTTGACTACTTAAAACTAAAGGATCATAAGCGAATTGATAAATTAGGAAGGTGAGCATCAAAAACAAGTGATAAAGAAAGAGTTACATGATGGTGATGGAGGATTTGATTCGATTATTTGATGAATTTCGTCATGTAAAAAGCAAATGGAGGGTGAACGGAAAAAATGGACAGCTGTTTCGGCCTCGTTGGGTCTCATCAGTAGTTCAGTAATCCACCGCCAAAACTGGGGACCGCGAAACTGAAATCGCACAGGTNACGCAAGAATGCTACCCACTGCACTATACAATCCATCACGATCATGTAACAAACGGTTCCGTTTGGATCTTTTCCAAATGAGTCATAATCCTAGTGATGATATGCACGAGGTGTGATGCCCGTGACAAACTTGTGCTATATCATGTCTAATGAAAATGAAAAGCAGTATGATCAGCGAGAGACAGTTATCGAAGAAATGTCGGGTTTGTTTCATGATTCGATCCGTAAGATTGAAAAAATGCTATCAAGTACTGATTTATGAAGTTATCATTAGAGCTCTACGGTTAAAAATAATCAATTCTGTTGAGCTTGTAGTATACCCTATTCTGAT